GGGATGATGGGGTCCTGGGGTACCTGGACAAATGGGTCCACCCGTTCCCCGAGGCCCTGCCTGGCCCTGGTGTGCCTGCAATGCTGTCCAAGGAGGTTTGTGTTAATTATCTTTTGTTAATTAATTAACTTATAGATCAGCTCTACTACAAATAAACCCAGTGCCTTTCAGCTCCTAGCGCCTTGTGCTGATGTTTTGGCTCACCCCAACTTCACTGGCACCCCTGGGCATGTCCAGGACTTGCCTGCAGGGCACTGAGGACACGGATGGGGATGGCAGTGAGGACAGCATCCTGTGCTTGGGTGTTCTGACTTCTCACAGGCAGTGGTTGGTCCCTGCTGGGCAGAGGGGCTGGTGCAAGCTGTGAGAGCTTCCATGGAACGGTTTTAAACTGAAATGGGAGATACAAGGAAAGTCTTCCCTGTGAGGGTTGCCCAGAGAAGCTGTGGCTGCCCCATCCCTGGCAGTGTTCAAGGCCAGGTTGGACACAGGGGCTTGGAGCAACCTGCTCTAGTGGAAGGTGTCCCTGCCCGTGGCAGGGGTTGGAACTGGATGAGATTTGAGGTCCCTTCCAAACAGACCATTCTGGGATTCAATGCCAACACTGAGCCTAACTTGTCCCAGTGCAAGGAAGGGACCCTGAGAGACCACAGGAGCCCTGGAAAGCAGAAATAGGTGTGCAGGGCCATTCAGGGTGTACCAAATGTACTCAAAGCTCCATGGGCCACATCCCAAAGCTCTGGGAGGTTGTTGAGGCACTACAGAAGGCAGTGGCTCACCAGTGTTTAGCACAGAATGGCTGCTGAAGGACACCTGAAGGCACTTCGGAGTCCCCTGGTGCTGTACTGTAAGGAACCTGGGCAGCAAAGAAAGGCACATGGAGCCCCCTTAAGTGCACCAGAAGACACTCAGGACCATACTGAGCTCAGAAAGGCCTGTGGAAGCCACTGGAGGCTAACAGCCAGGTACCTGGGTCCTTAGCACATACCTCCAGCCCAATGCGCAGCTAGCAAAGGCCTGTGGAAGCCACTGGAGGCTAACAGCAAGGTACCTGGGTCCTTAGCACAGATGGGAATAGCAGAGCTCTATAGTTGGAGGCACCCAGGTATGCACTGAAATGCACCTGGAAGCCACCAGTGCTCATCAGGAATGAGTTGTGGACCTCATCCCCTCTGCAACTGAAGACACAGGGGAGCTGTGGGGGAAGCACCAAGATGGTGCTGGACAGGCAGGGAGCTGGGAGCAAAACAGGACAGGACACAGCCAGTGCTTTCCAGGTTACTTTAACACCAGTGAACAGTGCAGCCAGACCTCCTGCTCCTGGGGAATCATTCATAAACAGCCGGGACCCATGGCTGCTTCCCACAGCGCAGCCAGCCCTGCATCACCCCAGGCACTGCCTGCCTGACACCAGCTCCACCAGCACATGGAACAGCCCCCGCTCACCAGGACAGGCCCGTGTGGGGCCATGTCCTCACCTGAGGCTGCTCCTCAAGCACCAGACATGGCCCAGAGCAGACGGGGCCCCACTGAGCTCAGACAGCCCCAGTGTCCCCTCCGCCTCCCCAGGCAATGCTGGCAGCCACTCCAAGACGACGCTT